ACTGACAGAGGAGTAGGGGAAATGGTGCTTGGTTAATCTGAGGGAGCTCTGGGGGTCTAGTGGGTAAGGAGTTGAACTGCCAACCCAAAAGCAAATGATTCAAATCCAACCGCTGCACCCTGGGAGAAAGATGAACAATCTCCTGTGAGGAATCCCACTCTGAAAACCCACTGGAGGGTCAGTTATGAGTTGGTTCCTACTTGACAGCAATGAGTGAGTTGTTAATTTGGGACACTATATGGGAAAATGAAAATATTATGGATAATATTAAGGATTTGTCATGTAAGGAGAGAAAATACCACTATTCTTACTAAGAATGCAATTCAAGACTTCAGTGTTTTCATCACATTCAAAATCTCACTCTATACCACGTCTCCAACAGGTTGTACTCTACTATACATAGGTTGGTGGTTCAAATACATACAACCTGTTTCCATAATGAAGCAGTTGTAGGCTATAACATACGTGGTTCTCATGACTCAGTATTGACTTGGTGGCACTGTGTTTGGCTTTGGAGTTTTATAATCTAAGCCCAAAGGAGCTTAACTGGCTTTAACTGAGAGTTCCATCAAACACTGTATACCTTGGGTAGCCATTATGGCATTTGTCCCCTACTGGCACAAGGTTCAGCACCACAACAAACACAGATTACCTCAGTGCAGCAGAATTGACAGAGAAGTGCTGCACAATCTAGAAAAATGTTCCTCCAAAAAGAACACTAGACTCTCAGGCCCAACCGATATTTAAATACATGTGCACTTCATGTGTACATATATATGTATACATATACGTATACATATATGTATATGTACAGAAGGCCTGAAGCCTTTCTATAACTATAGTCATTTGTCCAAGTTCATAGAGCTTTCAGAGGCAGGTGGTTTAGGAAGTGGATGCCACTCCTACTTCCAAATCTTAATCAATATGGGAGCTCCATCAAACATTTCCCATGATGGGTAGCCATTATGGTGTTTGTCAAACCTATAACATAGTTGTTCCACTATGGCCTTTGAGACTCCAATGGCAAATGGTTCAGTGTCACAGGAAACCCAGATTACCTCAGCACAGCAAATAGATCAGAGTGATATATTACTTAGAAGAGAAAAACCAGTATAAAATAAAATAGTTGGCTCCCAGTTGGTGGTAGACAACAACAATAATCTAAGTCTAAGGACTCATGGTGGTGCAGTACTTAAAGAGTTTAGCTGGTAACTGAAAGTTTGATGGTTCAAACCCATCATCTGCACCGCTGGAGAGGAGCAGTCTGCTTCTGTAGAGGTTTACGGTCTTGGGAACTCTATGGTGAAGTTCTACTATGTCCTGTATGGCTGCTAGAATTGGAATCAGCCTAGTAGGAGTACATGAATCTAAGTTTGGAAAACATTACTTCTGCAACATTTTCTACTTAGCAATATTAAATCAGGTTTCTATTTAGCAACATTAAATCAAGTTTCTACTTACTAATATTAAATCAAGTTCTTCCTTCTCTAGGAAATTGCAATAGCTCTTGATACAATAATGTTTTAACTTGCACTGGCAATAAAGTCTCTTTGATGCTGGGGGGAGTTTGGGATCCTTCCTTTATCCTTTCTGAACAATATCTCCAAAAGGACCTGCTCAACATTAGACAGCATGAAACTTGGAGAAAAACTGCCTGACTCTTTCATGACTGGTAATCTGGCAAAGAGGCATCTACATTAGTTTATCTTGGAACTGCAATACATCCATGGCATGACTTTTAACATCTATGTCTTGTTTTCTTCATTAAAAAAAAAACAAAACAAAAAACCAAGACAATGTTGTCATCCTTTGTGGCTTTTAAATAAATGTAAAAGCTCCCCAACATTATTCCTAAAATATCTCTTTGAGATGCACCTTTTTCTGATTCAGTATGTATTTACTCCACAATAACTGGCATAAAAAGGTTCCAAAGATGTAGTTATTGAGTGAATATTGACGCTAAGCGAATATAGAGGTGCCCACATCAGATCACAAAACAGCCGCATCATTACATAAAGTGTCAAATTGCATTATAACATCACTGCAAAACCACTGGAAAGCATCGCCCAGCCAAGGTGACACATAACGTTCATCCTCAAAGGCACATTTTCTCACACCTCGCTGTTTGTCACTGCCAGAAACTCACCACCAATCACTGGAGAGGAGATTTTTAAAATTATGATCATCAGTGTGAAATGTTAGAAAATGAGACAGCCAGTGAGGAGTAGGTACAATTGATCCTTCTATTTCGAGGCAAAGAGCATGCATCTCATTAAGCTAAATGCACATAGGTCAGCATGTGGGATGAAAGAGAGAAAATAGTGTTTAAGTGGCAGTTTATAAACATAGAATAATTTTTCTCTGAGCATCATGGCTGAAGTTTCTGAGCTCTTACGCTTGAGTTTTGAAGAAATGTGCAAACAGGCCAAGACTCAAAACTCTTAGAATAATTTGGCATTATGATTGCATTACCCTGCATTGTGGGTAGTAACAAGAGGTATAATAACAAATAAGAGCTACAATTTATTGCACTTTACTGTTTTCCAGGCATTGTGTTAGCATTTTTATATAATGGTAATAATAGTTAGGATTTTTTTTTCTTTAGCAATTCTGTGTACCCAGGCACAGCAATAAATATTTTGGCATATTATTATCTAATTTGAACCTTACAATAGCTCTTGGACTATGGATTACTGTCCACATTTCACAGATAAAGACACTAATTTTAGAAAGATTACAGGTAACTCTCAGTTTATGCCGGGATTTCATTCTGATGATTTTATCGGAGGTTTGAGGAAAGCTGTATATCCTTCTCTTCATTTTTTTTCTTTAGTTTTCATTATTATTACCATTTATTATCAATATCTTTATAAATCCAGTCATGCTCTTTGGGGGTTGGAAACATTACATTTGAACCTTAGTGAGTCAACATTTGAGAATAACATTAGTAAACAATAACGTGTAATACTGTACACGGTACAACACACACACACACACACACACACACACACACACACAGAGCTCCCAGATATTTGTAAGTGAGGTTCAAAGTAACACAAACATAAATTAGGGACTATCTATAGATAACTAGGCCAAAGACATATAGCAACTAACCAGTGAATGAAAGTGCTTCCAATGGGATCATGCAGAAGTCGGCCGTGACCTTTCAGTCTGACCCATATGCAACATGATTGTGGGGGCTTGCTTGTGGTCATAAAGCCCTTTTCACGTACGGTGATGGTAGGTGATGTCGTTAAGTCAATCTTGACTCCTCCTCCACGTGACAGAGGAGAACTACTCTGTGGGTTTTCTACACCTGTAATCTTTGTGAGAGCCTATGTATTGTTCCTGTGGAGCCACTGGGTAGGTTGGAACCGCTGACCTCTCTGTTAGCAGCTGGGTACTTAAATATTGTGCCACCAAGACTGCAAATGTTTTATCATTGTCTGTTCCCAAATGCACAACCAGAAGTAGAAACTAAGCATGCTCAACCCTGAGAACATTCCGCTCCCTCAAGGAAGGTTTGCTTCTCATAAATAGGTTTCAGCGTCCTCAGGATCAGGTCACTGCTGGGCCTGAGTGTTGTTGAGGAGATGGCTGTGGGTCACTTGAGTGATGTCCAACCTGGTTTACCCTGCCCTGGTGCACAACGGGGAACATGCAACTGTTGTCAAAGCTTTTTAGGTGGAGTGATGGACACTTAGGGAGATTCAGTGGCCTAGTCTGTAGGGAGTTGTACTGCCAATCTGTATTAGGTCATATCTCTGGTGGTTCAAACCTAGCAGCAGCTCCTTGGGAAAAAGATGGGCAATCTCCTTCTGTGTGATTTACACCCTCAGAAACTCAGTGGAGGGCCAGCTGTAAACCAGTTCTGACTTGACGGCAATGAGATTTTTTTCAGTATGATATAGTGACAGTAGTGACTTGGGACAGAATTCTTCTTCCATGTGGGAGACCTGGCTTTGATTCTCCACCAATGCATGTGCAGCCATGGCCTGTCAGTGGAGGCATGCATGTAGCTATGATGCCAAACATATTTCAGCAGAACTGCCAGACGAAGTCTCACCTAGACAAAAAAAGGCCTGGTAATCCCTAAAGTCAGTGCGGGAAGCCCTGCGCGTCACAACTGAGCTCTCCATCACTGATTTTAAACACAGTGCAGGACCTGGGAGGCAGCTCTGTGTTCCAGGGTTGCTATGAATCAGGACCAGCTTGATGGTCACTAACTGTAAGAAGATCCTTGTAATAGACAGACTCTAAACCTTATGTCAGGAGCTCTGGTGGTGCAGTGGTTAAACTTGACTGTTAACTTCACCACTGAGGGAAAGAAAGATGCCCCCAGCTTACTCTGTCCTACGGGGTCACTGAGGAGCCCCGGAAGCATACAGCGCAACATGCTGGATCGCTAACCAAAAGGTCAGCAGTTTGAATCCATCGGCTGTTCCTCAGGAACAGGATGAACAGTCTCCACCGGTAAGGACTTACAGCCTTGGAAACACGATGGAGAGTCACTATGAGTGAGTTCCAACTCTGTGGAGATGGGTTCTAGAGTCACCACAGGTTGAAACCAATGCAACAGCACACAGTAAGAGCAACAACTCTTCTATGTAGACATGAGAAGGAAAGAATTGTCTACCATCAACGTTAATAGTAATTAACAACTTCCACACTGAAAATGAGAAATTGGAGCGTACGTCTCGCGTGTCATGTTCTTTGTGCATTCTACGCAAACGTTTGCTGCATGTCTATGCTGTCTGAAGACAGGAGTTCTCATCCGAGTGAAGAACTCTAAGTCAATGTGACAAGCTCCTTGTACAGGAGCAGATGCACTGGGTATTCTGGAAACTGAAGGAGGAGCAGTACATGAAAGAAACGATTCCACCCAGCTCACTTCAGTCATGTACCGCTCCTCCTCCAGTGCAGGCCGTGCCTATTAGCTGCTGTTGTGTAAGGATTACGCCAAGAGTCCACATTACCGCTTAACGAGCTATTTCCCTTACCTTGTTCTTGATTCTCTTCATTCTCAGATTCTTTGGCAGTAAAAATGTCTTTGATGGAAATGAGGTCATTTTTTAGGACTTCCAGTTTCTCTCCATCAAGTGAGGCTAAAAATGACTGAACCTGGGGAAAAAAGGAAAGAAAGAAGTGGCTCAGCAGATCCGCTACCTTGTCTTTTTGTTCGTAATGTTGACGCAGCGCTGTCCGCCATCCTCAGCATTCCTGGGACTCGGGTGACTCTTGTGTGGGCGGAGAAGCTGCGCCAGAACGTCAGTTTTTCTGCTCATGGACAGTGTAACATTTGGGCAAGTCCCATAAGCCCCTGCATGGGCTTTCCTTCTCATCTTTAAAATGAGAATTCACCTCTGACTGGAACGCTCTGAGGAGAAGCTAGGTTGCAATGACAAGTGTGTTCGGCACACATGAGCACAGTAGATGCCAACGACATCCCTTTTCTATCAGGTCGATTCCAACTGTTGGCAACACTCCAGCAGTTTCTGAGGCTGTAGTTCTTTACATAAGGGAGTTCGCCCATCTTTCTCTAGAGGAGCAGTTGGTGGGCTCAACGTGCTGAGTTTTCGCTTACCAGCCCAACTCTTAATGTACCACATTACCTGGGCTCCATGCCAAAATCCTCAAAGCTCTTCTCTCAGACCGTCTGAATGTACACTTCTGTGTCCTACCTGGGTGCAGCTCTTCATTTTTTCAATTGTGGCTTTGGATGAGCAGGAGTCCCTGGGTTGTGGAAAGGGTTAAGTGCTCCACTGCTAACCAAAAGGTTAGTGGTTTGAACCTACCCAGAGGGTCCTGGTTGTTTGGATTCACCAGCAGTTCTTGAGGAGAGAGACGAGTAATCTCTTCTCATGTGATTTACTGCCTCAAAAACCCAATAGAAGTACAACCCTGATTCCGTTCTTAATCAATGATAATGAGTTGAGTTTTACTGTTGTGTAAACTTGGTGTAAACACAAAGGCACAAGGCATATGTTTCTCCTCAGATTTTTTCATACCCCAGAGGAAGTATTAGGCACAGAGACTCACTCACTCAATGCTGACTCATAACTGGTCTTTCAGTGAGATTTACAGAGGCTGTAAATTATACAGGAGGAGATTGCTCTTCTCCGGAGAAGCAACTGGTGAAAACGTATCACTTACCTTTGGGTTGGCAGTGCAACTCCTTACCCACTACACCATCAAAGCTCCCTAGGCACATCAAGAAGACAAAAATCTTCACTATTAGGGAGCTCTGGTGGCCTAGTGGCAAGAAGCTACACTGCCATACTGAATGCACAGAGTTTGAATCCACCAGCTGCTCCCTGGGAGAAGGATAGGCAATCTCCTCCCATGCGATTAAGTGCTTCTGAAAACTGGCTGGAGAGTCAGCTATGGGTAGGTTATAACACTATAGTACACAACAACACAACAAGGTTAATAGGCAATAACATGACTGATGGAGAAAAGATTGAAGCTGTCATCAATTTTGTTTCACTTGGATCCACAATCAACACCCTTGATACCAACAGTTAAGAAATCAAAATACATGTGGCACTGGGGAAATGTGCTGTCAAGAACCTTTCCAAGGTGTTAAGGGGAAATTAGATCAGTTTAAAGACTAAATTGCACCTGGTTCAAGCACTGCCATTTTCAATTACTTGCTTTGCATCTAAAAGTATCAGTTTAAAGACTAAATTGCACCTGGTTCAAGCACTGCCATTTTCAATTACTTGCTTTGCATCTAAAAGTTGGACAATGAATATAGATGAAATATTGATGCCTTTGAGCTGTGGTGTTGGAGAAGAGTATTAAATATCACATGTTGTTGTTAGGTACTGTTGAGTACGACTCATTGAGCCTGTGAACAACAGATCTGAACCCTGTCCAATCTTATGCCATCTTCACAATCTCTGACACCCTCAAGCCCAATGCTGCCATCACTGTGTCAATACAAATGAATCTGTCTTGGAGAAAGTGCAGTAAGACGGCACCTTGGAGGTAAAGGTGGTGAAACTTTGTCTCACATATTTTGGGCATGTTATTAGGAGGGGCTAGTCTTTGGAAAGGACTGTTATGCTTGGAAAAATGGAGAGTCAGTGAAAGAAAGAAGGACCTTCAACAAGATAGATTGACACAGTGATTGCAGCCTTGAACTCAAGTATATTGGAGATGATGAGGGCAAGGTACATATCCATTATTCATAGGGTTGCTATGAGTCATAGTTAACTTGACAGCACCTAACAACAACAGGTGAAGGAGGCCAGTGCCAACCAATAATGGCCAGAGCACATGTCAGTGAGGGCACAGTGGGGATCTCAGGGAAGGAAATGCCAGGGCCCCTGGCTAGTTGAAAGCGTATCCAGGTAGGACTCCACAGGGGCTACTTCTCCCTGACAAGGAGGCTGGCCTTACTCACTACCTTCAGATCCCCCCCTTGTAACTGTCTTTTATCATTCTCTAAAGATACATATAAATTTCCTTCATGGCCCAAGGGTATGGAGCACCACAATAAAAAGTGAAACATGACTGTAGAACAATGAGGTTTCTATATTTTCACTCCACAGGCCAGACACTTGCTCTGGAGGACTTGGTCTTGCTATTTATTATGGTCTGTTCTGGGTACAGTTTAATATTCGTCATGGCACTAGATTAGCATGTCAGCATGAGGGAAAGTGTCAGAGAGGGCTTTCAGGCTGCCAGGACCTCGGTCTCCAGGGACCTGCTAACGCACATCACAGCAGCTAGGTAACACGCTCAGTGCTCGGCTCTGGCAGGAAGCACGTTCAAGGCATCAACACAAACCCCATTAGTCACAGAGTTCAGCAAGTGGAAGCTTTAGATTCTGACCCTTTCCGAGTCTTTACTTCAGCTCTTAAAAAATTTACTCAAGTTTAGACTGCTGGGCCCTAAATATGTGCTTACTAAATTCCTACGTGTTTACTGAATTCCTATGTTTCTGCTGTATTTTCTACACAGTTTTCTATTTTTTTAAAAAATGAGTTGTACTTGAATAAGGGTATTTGAGTACAATGCTTAATGAAGATGCATTTACGTAAGTGAAACATGTTGGTTTCTCTGTGTCTTCTGGAGAAGTCCCCAGGCAGGGTAAAGGGCTAATGTGCCCAACTCCTAACTGTAAGGCTGGTGGTTCAAGTGCACCCAGAAGTTCCTTAGAATAAAAGCCTGGCGATTTACTTGTGAAAAATCAGCTCTTGAGAACCCAACAGAGCACAATTCTGCTCTGACACACATGAGTCAGAATGGACTTGATGGCAGTAAGGTTGGCTGCTGTGGGCTTCTTCGTTAGGCTCTACTCTTACAAGTCAAGAGGTCACTGGCTGTTTTTAGTTGTTGTGGACGGATATTGGCTAGGAATGAGACTGTCCTCACAGGGGGCATAAGATTTGTGGGGTGGGGCTAGTTAGAGACATACTGGAGGTGTAGAATTCTAACTTGGTCTTCCAGGTCATCATGAAAAGCTATCTGCCAAGATGGAAAGACAGAATATATTTTCTCAGTTCAATTTTTAGCTTTTAAATATTTAAACACATGGCATGCATAAGGTCACCAGGTGAAGAGAAAGATGTCTAGTCAAATATGAGTATCACACAATAAAAAAAAAATTTGAGTATCAGTGTATGTCACTGCATGGGACATATTTAGACGGAAAACTATTTCTTGTTTATCTAAAGTTAAATTCAGGTATGCATCCTGCATTTTTATTTGCTAAATCTGGTAACCCTATTGTGGGTTTTCATTTGCATCCTTACTGGAAATGTGTGGCCATCAGTGTGTCGGTAGTGGAGTCAAAAGATTAAAACAGCCTGGACCTCAGTTGTTGTTATGTGCCATCGAGTCACTTGCGACTCATAGTGACTCCATGTATAAGAGCCCTAAACGCTACTCAATCCTGTGCCAACCTTGCCGTCTCTGACACACTCACTCCCATCACCCCAATTACAGAATCAATCCATCTCATCGAGGGTCTTCCTCTCCTGTGCCGTCCCTCCACTCTCCCAAATATGATGACCCTCTCCAAGGACCAGTCCCTCCTTGTAACATGATCAAAGTATGTCAGATGAAGCTTCAGAATCTTTGATTCCAAGGAGCAGTCCAGCTTCACCCTCTCCAGGACAAACCTGTTTAATCTCCTAGCAGTCCATGGTATATTCAACACTCTCAGAGAGTTGGACAGTGACTAGGGATGATAGAAAGAGAACTGATGCCTTTGAGCTGTGGTGCTGGAGAAGAGTGTTGAACATACCTTCTTAGTAGATACCCTGATATTTGAACTAAAAGTAAGAAATAACATCTGCTATGGTGAAGAACATCAAGAAAACAAAGATTGTCACCACTGGGCCAATCGGCAACACCATGATAGAGAAGAGATTGAGATTATTAACAATTTCAGTTTGCTCAGTTCCCCAATCAGTCTTGGCATCAACAGTCAGGAAATCAAGAGACAAATTGTATTAGGAAATGCTTTTGTCAGGAACCTCTCCAGATTACTGAAGCACAATGACATCAGTCTAGAGACTAAATTGTGCCTGATCCAGGCCATGATCTTCACAATTATGTGTTATGCATAGGAGAGCTGGAAAATGATTAAGGATCATAGAAGAAGAATCAATGCTTTTGAGTTGCGGTGCTGGAGAAGAGTAATGAATATACCATGGACTGACAGCCAAGAGAACAAACAGGTCTATCCTGGAGAGGGTGAAACCAAGTTTCTCCTTGGCAAGGATTTTTAAGTTCCACCTCACACACTTTAGGATATTATGTTTGGAAGAGTGGAGGGGCATTACAGGAGAGGAAGACCCAGGATGAGATGGACTGCCTTGTAACTGGGGTACTGGGGGGGTAGGTGTGTTGTAGAGAGTGAGACTGGCTCAGAATAGGGCAAGATTTGGAGCTAGTGTGCATAGGGTTGCTATGAGTTGTATGTGGCTTGATGGTACATAACAACAAACAATAAGATGGTGAAGAATACCGAATATCCCATGGACTGCCAAAAGTACAAACAAATCTGTCTTGAAGGAAGGGTAATCAGGATGTTCCCTAGAGGCAAGGGTGGAGAAACTCACTTAGTTTGGGCATATTTTTAAGAGGAGCCAATCTTATCATCTGGG